CGCTTTAACCTGTTTTAACATCAGTTTTACCGGCTGCGGGGGGGGGGGGGGCTACTAGAGTCAGGAAATCTGTGTAGAAATAGCCGGTGGCAGGACCATCAGGACAGATATCGTGAAAGGCGCGGGTTCGAGTCCATGCGAGGTGGATTTTTTTCCAATTGACCTAATCCTTCCAGTTGCACTATGGCCCTGTGGTCGACTCAGTCTCCAAAGACGCGTCCACATTACTCGTGCTCGTGTGACAGAAGCTTACCGCTGCCGGAAAATCAGGATCTGGAGCTGATATCTGTTGTGAAGAAATGCGAAGGCTTTGTATGCAAACCAGTTTGGGCGTCCACTTCGTCAGCTCCAGAGCCTGATTTTCCGGCAACAGTAAGCTTCTGACGCACGAGCACGAGTAATGTGGACGGGCCTTAACAGAAATGAGTACCAAGAATCTTCCTGGGGGGTAAAGGGTGGCCGGCGCGTAAAGCTAACAAACTCACCGCCATCTGTCAGCCGATTGTGTAGAAAATGTGGGAGCCTCGACGTCTCACAACCCTATGGACCTTCACGGCCTGTTACAGGGATATATTTTTAGCTTCACCTATTTAGTTCAGTTAAGACCTAATTTACATCTTCCTGCCCCCCCCCCTTACAACTGGTTATTGCGGTATACAAATTCGTTAAAATTTATAAAAACCCAATTTGGGCATCTGCGTCTTATAATAACTATTCCTTACTCTATTTTCCATCTTAAACTGAAATTTAAATACACATTTTGTTGTATTCGCACGTTAACTCTTTTTAGTACAATCTAAACCAGTTACAAGAATTTGTTAGCACCAACTTCTCATTTCTTCCCGGAATTGACTCACTGGATAGCTCGAACTCAGAATTCAACGTCATTCAGTTTTCCTCGGATAAAAATCACCGCATCTCAATAGTCACACAAACCAGTCACGTTTCACCAAGCACAAGAGATATAAGACAGACACATATTGTTGTTTGACCTTTCATGAACTCTGTGGCATGGGATTTTCCTTGTACACTGGTTACACAGAACAAAAATGTTCATCCCCGCGATTAACACATCCTACGTCAGATGTATCGAACTAAATATGATTTCACAATTACATTCCTTCCTATGTTTAACTAACCAATAAAAACTCCGGTCTTCTCTGTTATCTAGTGGTCAGAGTTCCTGCCTACAGATCCAGAGGTCCCGGGTTTGATTCCCGGCGCTACCACATTTTCTGAGAAGTAGTGGGTCTGGAACGGGGTCCACTCAGCCTCGTGATGATAATTGTGGGGTTATTTCGAGGAAATAACGGCTTCGGGCTAGAAAACCGAAATTAACGGCGGTGGGGATTCGTTGCACTAACCAAACAACACCCTCTACCCGCAAAAGTAGGCGCTAACTTCGCTTGCGGACTAAAAGCCACGGAATTTTAGTTTTAATAAAAACTCCACAGTACAAAACGTATCTTTGGCAACCCACAGAATTACTAGAGAAACGTGTGTTACGGAACCGGAAGGTTCATCACCCTGATAACACAAGCCCTGCACTCTAACCTATTCATGAATTAGTTCTGCCCTGAAGTTCGTTACCCATATGAATGTGATGCTATGTAGTCTGGTACGTGTTTAACGAAGTTTTGGAACAATGTAGCGGCATCAGGGTTGAACTTCTGGCACTGCGTCATGTTCCAAAAAGACTGTAATCTTCATTATCATCGTCAAAAATAACCAAAAGCCCAGATACTTAACACTGTTTACATATCCACAATTTGACAAATTTTTGTGTTGTTTTACAGATCTGTGATGGACATAAAGTGGCAATGAGGCAGGTTTTCTGCTAGTATTTCGCTTTCCCCTGCCAATTCTCATTCCACCAATCACTGCATATTCATTTATCATCCTACCATTGACGCTTTTTATTCTTGATACTGACAGGGTCATAACACACTACACTACACTACACTACACTAATGTATTTCATCTGATCAAGAAATCCTCTACAGTTCTACATCCATATTTTCAACGGCGATTGTCAATTCAGTCATTTCTAATCTTCAATCAATTTCTCTGCGATCCATTTTAATATTATCCAATCACTTATATACTAATTATAAACTAACCAACTCTTACCGATCTATGCTGAGTAATTTGTTTTTCAGCTGCTACAGAAATTCACATATGAATCCACGCGGTTCGTCAACAAAATAGATTGAATTGGACGCTATCCCGAATGGCACTGTACGGTCCAAGTCACGTCTTAAAACTATTTTAAGATCCCTTCTAATATTACGTTAACATCTGCTCTTGTTCTAAGTAACGGTACAATTCCATTGTAGTGCGTCTTCCTTCATCAAGAAATTCACTATTACGGAACCATATGTTTTACCACCGCCAACACAAACGCTCACAATTTGACTCTATCCTGATATGGTCAGCTCATTCAAGTTCACACATTACTTGAGGTTCATTTTTTTTTAATATCCACTAATCTACACGTCTAACCAAGCAACTGAACATACCAGCCTTCTTGAACAGCTGATATTCAACCTACATCTGAATTCATCGTTATAATAATCGACAAATGCTCTATCCTGAATGAGCCAGTTCAATTCAATCCACTTTTCTCACAATATTTTTCTCTAATTTGGTTATATTTCGCTACAACACGCACGCCGTGACAAATAACACATTCTGATTGAAGAATACAACTTTCAAACACCGCACACAAAGTTGTTTCTGACGTGGCAATAAAACTGTTAACAATACCAATTTAGTATCAAAACATTTACCTGTTGATCTTCTGACCAATTATTATTTTTAGCACAGACAAGCGTGATGGAGGAATGTTGTCTATTCACCATGAGAAACTTGTTAGTCCAAGTGTCGAAGTCCTCGGTTTCCGAAATGCAGCAGCTCGAAGCGAACATGACATGCCAGAAACGGAAGAGCGATTCATCTACGAGTTACAACAGATCCCTCCGCAACAGTAGGCGCCGATCTTCTAAACTTAGTTTAACGAAAACTTGTACGCACGTCCAGCATGTACCAGATATAGTGGAGAACATTCCCCCTCGCTCGCCCCCTCCACAACCCACCGTTTCAAACGTCATCGCCAATTGTCATGCGCGAACATCCTGTCATACCAACGGAAGAGATGAGAATTCGCTAATGAACTTCAATGGCGAATTTTGCGACGCCCTCAGTAACTCGAGTGGTCCATTTATTATAGGTAGGAATTGGGAAGGAAGCTATCGTGGCTTAACCTGATTTACTATCTTTAAATTTGGTTGGATGGGCTGAGTAAAAAACACAGATATATTAAATGTTATGGATGCATTATTCTTCACAAAAAGATAAATTTGTTTCTGTGCTTAACTAACTAAGCACTGTGCCATGAAGGCGCACAAGGGATGGATGTATAGATCCATATTTTCTTGACCACGGCACTAGTTGGAGATGAGTGGTCAGCTTCACGCCCCGGCCGCTTTACCCCTGGTACCCACTGCACAGGAGGCTGGGTGGGGCCCAGAGCCGGTCTGGAAGACGTGAATAAAAATTTCTTGACCCTACTAGGACTCGAACTCCGACTCCTCGGTCGTCCAGCCTAATTAAAAGCGTGTTTATGGCCTTCCACGCTGTATCTCCATTACAATAACTAACTCTATTGAACATGTTCCACGAGAAGCTAACAGTAATCCATCTGGTCAAAAAAATTGACAGCATTTCGTGCAATCCCTATGTTCATTACCGTGTTTGCAAGAGTTCGCCACTGATCTATATTAGGGCCATATATAAACCTAGCCCACATCATGCCATCTACAACTAGGTCATCCAAATGGTCTCCCTCCTTCAGCTTTTCTTACTAAAACTTCATATGCATTTCTCCTTCCACTCTTGAGGAAACTCCTCCTTATTTGCAATAGAATAAATTAAGTTTGTAGGTATCGGGGAATAATGTTTCACCTACTGCTTCAGTAGGTATCGGGGAGTAATGTTTCACCTACTGCTTCAGTAGGTATCGGGGAGTAATGTTTCACCTACTGTTTCAATCAGTTCTCCCGCAATTTAATCAATACTCGCTGACGTATTTCATTCGAACTTGTCGAGGGCGTCTGTTTCGTATTCTGGGCTCTATTCGGCCCGAAGATGGAATGTGCGAGTCCTTTAGCGAACTTCCAGTCCACCATTCATAGTTGTTCTGCCACAGGATCACTGTTAAGGCAACCGACTGACTATGAATCCAGTACCTCCATAGTCCACTCAATTGCCTACAATTTGAAGACAAAAAATGGAGGGCAATTCCCCCCCCCCCCCCCAAAGGCGGCAAGAAAACAAACGATTTATGATGCAGTGCCTAACATTTACTTCAAGAGCACTCTTAATTTTTATATTCCCGTTAAAACATTTCTGGCGCATCAGCAAAATAAGTTGTATATTTTATTTAAAACTCGGGTAAAAATGCTGTCCCTGCTCACGTGCAGTCTTCAGCTGGCGTACGTGGTACGCTCAAAGGTTGTGGGGGGAGGGGGTTATTTCTTGCCCGTCTCGCTGTTAACCTAGCTTACAGTGGAAGTTTAGGTGTTTTAGAAATGTAGGTTTGAATGTTGCCCCCTGATGATGCTTATGCAGTTGTAGGGACAGCTTCATTTACAGGTCCAATAAGCTAACGTTTACGTAAATAACAATTTACCTAATCCTTCCAACCGCACTTATAGCCCTGGGGTCGAATCAGCCTCTAACAGAAATGAGTACCAGAAAGCTTCGCTTAGTGGGGGGTGGAGTCAAACTGGGTCCACTCGGCACAGCGGCCACTGATTGGCCTATTGTACCTGCCCCGGGTGATTATGATGGAGAATTTGGTGAACTGAAGATTGGCAGGGGAAACCGAAGTACTCGGAGAGAACCCGCCCCAGCGCCACTTTGTCCACCACAAATCTCACTTGACCAGACCCGGGATCGAACCCGAGGATCCGCGGTGAGAAGCCCGCGACTAACCGCTTTAGTTATGGCGCGGTCACCAGGAATCTTCCTGGAGGGTAAAGGGCGGCCGGCGCGTAAGGCCATCTGTGAGCCGACTGTCTAGAGAAAATGTGCGAGCCTCAAAGTCTCACAACCTTACGGACCTCCACGGCCTGTTACAGGGAGCGCTTTACCCTTTTTTTTTTCTTACTGTTGTTTAGTCTGAGTCATATGAAGACCAAGAATAGCATGTTCGAAAATCCGGTGTTTGCCTAGGTCCGTCTGCCGCACCGTTTTTTCCAAAAGGCGCGTCATAGGAAAAAGTGGAAGGCAAAAGATGTAATCTTGGGGAGAAAAGCAAGGGAAAATTGTTAATTTTGGTTCTATATCATGGGTTCGGATCCAATTACTTATTTCCCTTTTAATTCCTCGGTCACGAAAGCACTGTGCTCGTGAAAATGAAGTTCTTACAACAATAGGATGGTGTCTTATAGTAACCATGGTAACGAGACGCGTTTACGCAAGAATATGGCGTGATGTGTAACAGAAATACTGCAGAGGCACGCTAATACCATGTCAAACTGTGCTTACGTTACAGCTTACAGCTAAAATCTATTATCAACTGCAACGAAGTTGGCAAGCCTGCTTTCACGTCATTGATTCCCACACGATGACGTAGGTTGTTGCATCACTGATAAGGTATGACGTAAACGTCTCCACCACACCTCTCGAAAGATCGATGCCGAAAATAGGGCGCCAATTCTTGTCTCTCAAGAGTACACCACGACATAAAAACACACACCCCCCTAATCAAAACATGTTACAGGATATTAACTCCCTCTATATAGGCCGTGCCATAGCTCTGGCGGTTAGTCGCACCTTCCCACTGCGGCGGCCCGGGTTCGAGGTCAGGTCATGTAGGGTTTGTGGTGGACAAATTGGCACCGGGGCAGGTTTTCTCCGAGTACTTCGGTTTTCCCTGCCAATTCTCACTCCACTGACTGCTCCACACTCATCATATACCATCGGGGGCTGGTACAATAGGCCAATTAGTGGCTGACGTACCAAGTGGACTCAGTGTGACCCCAAGAAACTAAAAAACACTAAACTATTCCCTCCATTACAGTATTAACTAACTTCATGGAGCTGATCCCTTCTTAAGTACCCATCAGTATCTCAGCTACTCAAGAATTCCCCAACATTTTATGGAACCCGACGTTTCGTTACCGTGTTAACAAAAGCCCTTCACTGGTCCCTATCCTAAGCCAGATAAAAGGCCGCTCCATAGCTCAAGCGGTTAGTCGCTGGCTTCCCACCGCGGCGGCCCGGGTTCGATCCCGGGTCCGGTCAAGTGCGATTTGTGGTGGACAATGTGGCGCTGGGGCAGGTTTTCTCCGAGTACTTCGGTTTCCCCTGCAAACCTTCATTCCACCAATTGCTCCACAATCACCCTCACCTATCATCTGGGGCTGGTACAACAGGCCAGAAGTGGCCGCAGTACAAGGGACTTAGACCCACCCCGCTAGCAATAAAAAAAAAAGGCCAGATAAATCCGGTCCATACCACCCCATGTTAAGATCCATTTTAATATTATGCTCCCACATACGTCTAGGTTTCCCTACTGATCTCTTCCTTTCTGGCTTTCCCACCAAAATCCCATATACATTCATCTTCTCCACATGCGCGCTATAAGCCCTGCCAATCTCCTTGACTTGATCACTCTAACTATATTTGGAGAAGAGCACAAGTTATGAATCTCATTATAAAATGTTCCCTTCACGCTTCACTCCCTATAAATCCGTGGCCTTTAGTCCGCAAGCGAACTACCAACCGAGCGACCGCCGCTTGTCGGCTAACCACGCGACACCCTCTATCCACAAAAGTTGGCACTAACTTCGCTGAAGCGGCGGTACTCCTTTCTGTTAGAGGGTGAGTGAACCCCAGGGCCATACTGCGGCTAGAAGGATTAGGTCAATTGAAATAGATCCAGTTACCTCATCGAGACTTCATAAGAAACAAAACCTATTTTATTCTAATTTACTCACGCATGCGCGTCGCGGGTTCAGAAAGAAGCAGTATGGAGTCGCCTAACGAAGTTCAGTGAATATTAACAAAACCTGAATGGTGAAGTTGAAAAAACATCAACAAATGAAATGTATTGTCTCATGTCGTGAACCCGGGACTGATACTTCCATGGAAATGCAATAACAATGGGCCGGTGCACGGAAATAACCCAAACAACAAAGGCGTTTCCCCCGTTGCGCAACAACGGACGAAACCTGACACTTCTACAAGGTGTTCTATATTGTTCCTAAGCAACGGATTGTTGGAAAAAAAGCGGGAATAAGCACAGAACATGTGAAATCAAACCCTGGGAGAAGGTTCTCTCTGTTACGTCCGGGTCCAGAGTCGAATACCCCCACCGTTACCCTGCGAGTCGCAGGAGGCGACGAAAAGGGAACTCTCAAATTGAGACAGTAAAATATGGTGACGAATCCCAATGAACTCTGACCCGAGAAAGACTGCGCTGACAAGGACCAGCAGCATATACAAATGGCAGACCAGTCCTCTCGTCAGAGAAGGCGGCCACCCAAAAAAAAAAGACCGTAACTGTCTGACAGTAATAAAGATCTGGTCGCCAAGTCCCAGATGGGGTTCGACACCAAGACTTACTGTCAGTCGCAATGTGACTTTGACTTGGACACTGAAAGTATAAGAGGCTTAAACTTGGTGGCGGTCAAGCATACGACCGTTCAAGTGACTAGACTGCCGTTGTAGCGAAAGCTACTAGAAGTAGGGCATAATCTGCTGTACTGAGCCTGGACTGACAAACGCCCTGTATATATTTAATACATTTATTATTATGTTTAACATGTAAAATATAAATATCCTTTACATTATGACAAATGACTTACTACTGCAAACAATGACTGACAAAAGACAGACCGGTCCTCTCGTCAGAGAGGGCGCCCCACAGAAATATGACCGTAATTGTCAAGCAGTAATACAGTCAAGCAGTAAATATCTGGTCATGAGCCCCAGATTAGGCTCA